TATCTTGTATATTACTTTATCTTTTATATGTATATATATATATTTTTTTTTCATTTCTTATGTACATATTGTGTGGATGAATACTATAGCCTTAGTACCATGCAGCAGGCTGAATTAATACTCCATAAAATAAAAAAATACAGTTTAATTGAAATTTAAGGCTAGAACAGTGTCATGGAAACTTCTTTAACCATAATATAATAATATTTCAATTATTCCTAATTGGACAGGAATGAAAAATTAGAATTTTTTTTTCATTATTTGTTTTATTTTTAAAGGTCCTCCATGCACGATCTTCTCTAACAGGTTCTATTTTTTATTTTATTTTCATTTTATGTTTTCTCAATAGAACATCGTACATAATTCACAACTTTATGTATGAATAATACACAACAGGTAATTGTGCTAGAAGTACTAACCAGTAAAAAAAAACAATCCCACTCTTCTTATTTGTTTTGGAGGAAAAAAAAAAAAAAGCAGAATACGCTAGAACTTGAAGTCTTTTCCGTGTAACTTCTGAGCAAATTAATATTTACTTTACATTGTAAGCAATTTTAATCTCTTCCATAAACAGATAAAGTTTCTTCGTTTGGACTTACATCATTAAAATCCCTTTTTAACAGTTGTTTCGTTTTGCATTTTCATTACCTGAAAAAAAGGAAGTATGTTTACGAGCCAATACGGTTATTTTTATTCTGATAAGTAGTATAGTTTATAAATAAGTTGTTATAAACATGCGCTATAGAAGTCTGGAAATTTGTGAGGTATTGATTAGTTTTATTCGCAACCCCAAATTAGCCAACACTGATTCCTGTATAGATATAAATCCAAGGATGATGCTGTAATACCTACAGCCAGAAAGCGAGCTTGCTATTGCCACAAGATAGATACCGTGGTTTAAGTTCAGGGATGGAGTTCCTATCTTTAACATGGGGGAGGGTCAGAAAATTAGCCCTCAAGACGCAATTAGACGCATCTACGTGAATATAAATCATTTTCTGGCAATGTAGGGCTATATTAATTTTTTGAAACTGCATTTTTGACTGAGATAAAGATTAAAGCTTGCAGTTAACTAATCATTAATAACATTAAAATAACAGAAATCCTATTTATTATATCGACGGTTGATCATGGTTTGTACGATTCACTGATTATAGATTGTACGACTATTAGTTATTAAACTATAAATTATAAGTTTACTAAAACGGAATTATGAGATTTGCATTGTCTGTCATAGGCAGGTCAAAAGTCACACTGATTGTAAATGGATACTGTGAGAATATCACAGATGGAGACTGTGAGAATATCACAAAAGGAAAGTTTATCAAACTAATCACTAATTTTATTGTCTAAAAGGTTGCATGATGATTTTTCGGAATAAACGGACAATAGATACCTAATAATTTAAATATAATACCAGATCTAGAATTATTAAACTACAGTAAATGTATTTAAGATTATAAACATATCCTTTATACATCCATGAAATGATATTATATTCTTCTTTCACACAAGTACAATGAAATAGTTTTTTAAACAATGTCATTGCCTTGATTAGGTGGATTTTAAGTAATTTTTTCAAGCTTAAAAATATTTTAAAAGGTTACAATTAGTTAGTAAATTTCATTTGATTTTCTTGAAAACATGTGATTTACGTAAAATATTAGTTTTCAAAAATTATTTTTAATTATTTTTTTGCCACTCTCCGTTACCTTCTACAAATTTTTATATTATATATTGTTTTTTCTGAAATCCTCCGCTTTTCAACGATATATTATACGTATATCTGCTGACTAGTATTTCCGGAGATTCATTTTCGACCTGGATAAGCATTTTTTTTTCCTTTATTCAATTATAAAATTATTTCAAAAGTTATATTTAGCATTTTTTCATAACTCCTAATAACGAGAGATAGTTAGTTATTTAAAATAAACCATATTAAAGGTACTTTGGAGGAGGCCGTATATGAAAATTGGACATTTAAGCCCTGTAAAGTGACATTAAAGAGGATAAGAGATAAATGATATTAAATACCACTTAATTATACAATGATACACCGAGTTTAATCAAAATCGTTAGAGCCGTTTTTGAGAAAATCGTAAAAATGCGTTTCACCGTTGATATAATGTGGCACTTCCGGTTAGCCGATTTTAAGGAAAAAGTTGCTATGACATCTAAATCATATACCTATCTTAAATATGTAATATCAGTTTCGTACGAAGTTTCGTTTTTGAGCTAGACTGCTCACATACAACCACACAGACCATTTTTCGGGACTTGTTTGGAGTCAGGAGTCTACAACCATTGAAAATTCAGATTTAAAAATTTTCATGATTGCAATACATACCCTTACTATATATTACATATATACCTAAGTGAAAATAAAAGCAGATAGATTAAATGTATAAAGATTGTTTTGCTGTTCATTTCATGCTAACAAATCTGAAACACTATAAATAAATAATTTACCATCTCTATCAGAGGAAGAAATCTTGTTGATGCTAAGGAATTCCAATTAATGAGGGAAAGCAATTAGCGGATTAACATGGTTATTTAATAGTGCTAAACAAATTGAACCTTAATAAATTATCCGGGACTATAAAAGACCCTCCCATTCATTTTGAACCGACTGCTTTGGCACAATGGAGGGGCTCCTAATGCTGTAATTAAAACATTGTTGGGTTATTTTTCAAGCACTCAAAAGACGTGTAATTAGGAATCCTACCGCCTTTAATTGGGTAGAATCATCATCTTTCTGAGAAACGAGGAAAATTTCGTAACCATTAAGGTGTTGGATGTTATCTAGCTCTTTGATTAAATATATAATTATATTTTATATTATCTATGGCCTTCTGACCTACAATATCCTTTAATAATACCCCACTTATCACTGTTGAACAAATCCGATACCTTGGACAGACGTCTAACGTGGAATCCTCATACCACACTGAAACGACCAGAAACCGCTCGGGGTTTACGACTACTCCAACACTTACTAGACAAACGCTTTAAGCTACCGGTTAATTACAAAAGACTCATATACATGACTACAATAATACTTACTTGGACTTACGGAGTTGAGCTTTGGAGCTCCACTAAGCCATCGAATTCCTCTCGTATCCAATTCTTACAATCCAAAATCCTTCGGAAAATCCTCAATGCTCCTTATTTTTCACCAATAAAATAATCCATAACAACCTTAATGTTCGTTATGTTGCCGATTTGGCCCAATCCAGATATCAATCCTTCCATAATAAACTTCAGAACCGTCCGAATCGTCTCGTATCTAACCTTGCTTCCTCTTCTATTCCTGATTACCCTCCGAGGTGTCTGAAAAGAAGATGGCCTCGAGATCTCCTATTGTAAATACATTTCCTTTTTAGAGTGCTACCAGTGGGTAGTTTCTCAACAAGTGATTTCATGTTATTATTTTCTGTTACAAAATTTACTAAATGTATTTTATTTATTAATACAGCTGTAAACATGAATAAAAAAAATATTGTAAATGTCGGCTTTCATAGAATGTGTCAACACTCTTGCTAGCGACAACATCAAGAGACAAGATCTGTAGCCACATTCGAGTTTTTCCGTAAGTCATAAATATTCTTTATTTACCTATTAAGCAAATTTATCGACAAGAAAGAATCCTGCAAAACGTCTATTTCGATTTGATATCAGTTCGGTCATTCAGGAATTAAGAATATCTTCGGAATTTCGACTTTTATTTTGTTAAAAAAAAGAAAATTGACAACATCATCTATTTTTACGACCTTAAACCAATTCCTTTTTATATCTCAAATCGTTTATAGTGGTAGGCCATGTATCTTTATTTTTATATGGAAGGTAATAAGTTTTTATATTTTATATTTATCGTAATTATTTGGTCCGTGCGAATTGTTGAATAATATATATCAGTGAGGTGGTGAAATTATTGGGTCTTTTTTCCTTAGTTGATTACAATGATTTCATTATTTTACTTAATAAACTAAAATATGAGTACAATTTCAATAGGCTATTGAATATCTCAGTCAATAATGATGATCTTTTCTTTCGTTTTTTAACAAATTGATTAATCATAATCGGTATACTTTTTTAGTTATGCGCAAATAAAGTTTTATTTTCTTCATATTTTTTCTCTCAAGTTTTCTGGGGATTTGCTTTTTTTCGGCCATGAAAGAGAAGATAGTCTTACAAAAATGACTCAATCATTGGATTAACCTAGGTATAGCGCCCAGACAAAAAAACAGTTTAGGGCAATATGACGATAAATGACGATTTCTCTCTATTGTCACAAATGATCAAAATAGGATCTTGTAAAACCCGTAATCGTCCTCTATTTGTATATTAAAGGTCAGATTGTAATGTTAAGATACAAGAATCAGCCGAGCATATTTTTATACTTCGTTGCCGAATCTGAAATGATTGGTCCAGTTGTCTCAGATATAGTTAAGGATATTCTTTTATAGTTCAGAATATCTATATGTTATTTTCCGTGAAAGAAACAAGACATTGAAATATTTTTATATAGGTATGTGATACCTGTCTCAAATATCCAGATATTTTTATTTTTTACCACTTTAGCATTATAAATAAAAAAAAATGTTTGTATAACTCAGAGGTACATAAAGTGTATTCTGGCCCGATTATAAATGAACTGGCATAATTTAAAAAAAAAATAATTTACAATATTACCAAAAGAATAATCAGAAGAATTAAAACTACTTTCCTATAATTTTAGAGTAATGTGGCATAGTAATACAAACTAGTCCTGTTTTAATACTTCCGTGTTACCAAATAAATATTGTGTATATATATATATATATATATATATATATATAAAATTGATTTATAATTATCTAATTTTGAAGTTTCACAAATGGATACTTGTCACTTTAGAAGAAAAAGAAGCTTGAAAGCAGTATAAAAAAAGTACATTAAGTAAGAGAAGCTCGTTACTATAAGTCGTTAGAAGGTCATTAGTAAGTTCAATAAGTACTCACCCGTGTTATCCGCCGCCACTACGGTTGCCACCGCCACGCTCATCAAAAGGTAAATCATCTGAAACAAAGAGGATACATTAATTAATAATGAGGTTCAAATGGTTAGTGTTTCTGGTTAGATTCTCTAGGATTTTAGAGAATGGTGTGATCGATAAAGACAGTTAAGTGAATACGCTTCCTTAACAAGTTTAATATTTCACTATAAAATTTAATGACAATTAAATAAAGTCCTTTAGAATTAATAATAATAAGAACAAGGAAAATTGCTTATACAGTTCAAACCCATTGAATGGTAAAAAAAAAAAAGAAAAGAAAATTCTGTGAATAATTACCCTCACCACCTTTAAAGTCCTTCTATTCAATAACTTTCTATCCATCTGATACTAAAAAAAAATCAAATAATTGTTTTGTAAATATTTAAGTAAATTATTTTTTGGTTTTCAATTAGTATTATTTCACAATTTAATTTTTAATTTTCTTTTTGTTATTGTATATTTTATAATTGACCATTGCATTATAAAGGAAGGAGATTTTATTATTAAAAGGAGGACTATTTTATTAAAAGCCAAGGCTACTATTTTAAGGCCACTATTTAGCCTATTTATGACCTTTCATTCTTTATATATATATATATATATATATATATATATATATATATATATATATATATATAATATATATATATATATATATATATATATATATATATATATTTTATAGTTTATAATGTATTATTATTTATATTGTTTTTCTTCTTTTCTATTAAAATCTGAGGCTCTCAAGTCCTGAATTCTGCTATAGTGTTTTATTCTAGATTGGCAATCGCCTAGAAAACGGAGGCGAGGACGACCCATAGTCCCGTCAATGAATGATCGAATGATCAAACATTTTTTCACCATATTTTTAAACATCTTCCATTTGAACATAAAATACTATGTACTGTGTTGTGAACAGTTAAAGGGATTTCGTTTCCATAATTTAAAAGTTTGAAATGTGTTTAAAAAAAAAGAAAAAAATCGAAAATATGTATACAATTACATTAATGACATACCGAATAAATACGTAGTTTTAGTTTCTGATTCTAGATATAATTATAGTATTATAATTTTGCCGCTAGAAAGTTATATAAATCATAAAACCAATAACAAAAATCAAATCGAGATGTGGTTGATGATTTGTAACTATACAGATCATCACGGAACTATAAAAACTGAGGAAAAAATAACTGGAAGTTATCGGTTCTTTATCAAAACTAGTTTGAAGTACTTGAGCTATATTGCTAGGACGATATGCGACCAATTTCCTTAGAAGATCTTGGATAAACATAGCACACTAGAGGAATGGATAGAGAGCATTTTATCTTATAAGATTTATCTTCGAAATTCACAACGGATTGCCGTTGCACTCGATAATGGAATCCCAATTTGCGAGGGCAGTAAGTTAAAAATAACCTCTGTTTTTACCTAGAAAGATAAAAAAAAAAAAAAAAAAGATAACCATTGATTTCCCTTCGGTTCGCTATAGTTAATATTGTTAACATGATTGCAAAATTTGAAGAGGGAACTTCGGTGTTAATGATATCCAGAACGTCAATAATTAATTAATTTCTAACTTTATATTAATTAAAATATATTTTTATTTTGGTCCAGCATTAATTAATTTTTCTTTATTTCTATTTAAAATGAAAAAAATAAAATAAATTTCATCTTATTTGCTGATACAACTGCCACAGGAACTAATATTAATGATTATACCGATTTATTGCCAAAGGGTTCAATTAAAATAAAATAAAATAAATAAACGATTTAATTTGAATAATTTATTAGAATGTCAGAAATTATAAATTAACATTTATTTTATTTGAAACCGTTTGATTAATTATTTTCATATGAATATTCCTATTGTTTTTTTAAAGTCATGATAACGTATTTATGAAGTATTTTTGAATTAATAAAAAATACACGATAGCATTATATTCATACATAGATCACAGTATTTTTGATTGGTAACGAGGTCCTTTTAGAAGTTTTTTTCCAATAGTTCGAATATTTTTTCATCAACTCATGTTCTTGTTTGTTTTAGGTGAAAATTATTTAATACTATAAAATAAGGCTATGTTTTATTTCTTCACCATATTTATTTTATTGAATATTTAATAGTTGACCGTTGGATTATAAAGGAAGGAGATGGTCCGGGGTTGCGGTCATAAAAAGGCTAAATAGTGGTAAAACTATTTTATTGAAAGCCAACGTTTCGACCCGACTTTGCAGGTCTTCGTCTGAGAGGTGTGTTCATCTAGGAGTTTCACTTAGAACTCAACTCAACTCAACTCAGTTCTAAGTGAAACTCCTAGATGAACACACCTCCCTGATGAAGACCTACAAAGTCGGGTCGAAACGTTGGCTTTCAATAAAATAGTTTTACCATTATTTAGTCTTTTTATCACCGCAACCCCGGACCATCTCCTTCCTTCATATTTATTTTAATCTACATCAGCAACGTTTCGGCTGGTAAGCCATTTTATTTAATCATGCTTGTTGCATTTAGTCCATGATTAGATTAAATTATGATCATGATGATGATAATTTAATCTGATTATTGATGTAAATATGTAGGTTGAAATAAATACGGTGAAGAAATAAAACAGTCTCATTTTATAGTTTTCATAACCGTTGTTTTTTCTTTCGTAATTATAGGCAAATCAACGATATATTTTAAGTTGGATGGTTGGTGGTTTTAGGCTCAAAACATAAAGATCATCAGCACCTGATCCGTAGAAATATCATTATTAAAATATTTAGCTGGTAGATTTAATGTAGAATAAAAAACAGATAAAATAAAATACAAAAATATATAACTAAAATATATTTAAAAAAAAGTAAAAGAAAAATATAAATTATTATTATAGCTCTTTCATTAAATTTACCCTTATTAAAAATGCACTTATTTTGTCAAAATATTGCTGTTGTATCCCAATGCTATGGGTATATTTTGTAATATCTCTTAATCACTTAATTTACAAATATAAAATGGACAATAAAATGGGAATATATTTTAAATAATTGAGTAACCAACAGAGTCTGTCAGCTGTACTTGCACTACTTTTTATTATTTAGATTTATTTTATCATTGGGACCAGTATTTCAATACATGATTTCGAATGCTACGTTTCAATAGAACTCCCCTGTTGATGCTTAGTTGAATCGGTAAGAGGATTAAACACTGATAACAGTAGCCAATAACGACTAATGATGGAACGGTGGCATTTGAAAAGAACTTTCCCCGGATAATTGTATTTTGTGAGGGGGGAGAAAGGGGGGAGGTTGGTCGAATTGTATCCGAGCTGAAAAGGCCGAAAGACTGTTTTCAACAAGGGCATTTAATTGACAAAGTCCTCTCCATACTCCCCCCTGACAATCCGACTCCAATCAACTTTTGCGAAACAACTTGTAAGGCCTCATCGATCGATTCTAGTTAACCCTAATTAGAGATTTCTATCCGAGTGGTGCCGCTTTTAAACAAACCGCATCGTTTGATTTAACCAACCGTTATTAGTGTTTTCAGCGACTGGGTTCCGAACTATCCGACCGGAAAACGCCCACATCGTTCTGAAAGGGCTCGTTCACCACATCTAAAAGTAATTTATAATTTATACTTTAGCTAATAATATTCATTGAGGCGTTTCGACGCAATTGGATTTAATTGCCGTCGTTCCGGTCTAATTTGTAAGCATCCATAGGTAAAACACAATACAAGGGTAATAAATTGCATTAAAAATTGTAGAATTAACTATAGACGGATTATAAAAAAAATGGAATAAATAATAATATTGGCACATGATATAAAAGTTATTTTTATTTATGTTTTTTTTTTATTTAGGAGTTTCCTCTAATAGTGGGTTTCCATAACCTAGAATGCTTGGATGGCTTCTTTAGATACATTTCCTATTTAAGGTCCAGACCATACACCATGACCCATCATGGATTCTTCCACTTCCTTATCATAGGTCTTCTTAGGTCTTCCTCGTCTTCTTCTTCTCCTAGTTTTCATAAGTGGACTTCTATGGGCTGTCTTTCTTCAGCTATTATTTTCAAATGTCATTACCACTTCAGGTGTTTTTTAAAAATATCTTTCGAAATGAAGAGAAGGATGGTTGTGGTGATAACAGTCAGAAATAAAAAGGCAAAACTAAATAATAATATTTATTTATCATTGGCCGACGTTTCGACTTGAAGTTCAGGCCTTCATCAGGACTAATAAAAGAACCGGATAACAAGGTATGGGAAACATAAACAATGTAGGTAAAAAAATATTAAAGTAAAATGTAGTGGGTAGAATAATGACAGTAACAAGACCTAAGAAATAAATAATGATAACCGTTAAAAAGTGTGGAATGGTTGCTGCTAGAATCTGCAGAGAGCTAGAGTGATTTTGAGTACTTAGTAATAATGGTTCTTTTAGCTTCCATCTTTTTTCTGATGGTCGCTTTTCTCACTTTATCCATTCAGAATATTCCCGTCGCTCCTCTCCACCATTCCATTTCTGTGGCCAGAAGTTTCTTCCTGAGGTTGCTTTTTAAGATCCAAGTTTTTGACCCATATATCATAATGAGCAGTACTATACTATTATAGATTTTTTTTTGGATAATGTTTCGGTTCCATAATACCGAGTTGAGCATTTATACGGCCTTTTTGCGATCTGGAATTTTTCTCTTCATTTCCACATAACATTATATACACCATTTATTTCAATAATGGAACAAAGATATTTAAAATGTTTAACTCTTGCTTAGAATCCCTCCTGCATTCAGTTCTATATCATCATTATTAAATGTCATATGCTCCGTTTTTTCTACATTAATAACTAATACCCATCGCTGGTATTCCTTATTTAATTTTCATAACATATATCCAGCATCTTTTGCGTCCTGTGCAATGATGATCTGGTCATCTGCGAAGGATATTTTCTCACCAAGAGTACTTCCATCTCGACGTGGTGGGTAGACTTGAGTTTCGTGAAGATCCTGAGAGCTATGCCGATAGGGCCAGCCTTGTCGGACAAGT